TATATATATGTGTGTGTGTCTGTGTGTGTGGAGTGTGTTATCACATATATATATATACACACATGTACGTGCACATGTATACAAACGCGTCCCCGCCGCCCCATCCCCGCTCCGCTCTAAACAAGCCAAGCCAAGTCAAGCATTGTAAAGCGAACATGCTGTACACATAAACAACTCTTTGCACATATGAAATGCTGAACCATGCAAACCTGCCTCAAAAGAATGGCGTGCCATCACTGGACATTCCGTCAAGCAGCCTTTCTATGAGCATTCCGTTTGCAAATGGCGGCGGCTGCGCCCCCAACCCCCCTCCCCCCCCCACTGCAACCCTCCCAGCTCTTTCTAAATTTTGGGCCATGCGAATTATCCTAAAGGACAGCATGCCGTCAACGGACATTTCTTTCCTTCATGAAGCCTTTCCAAGAAGCCAATCATCTGCCCCGCTTCTTTAAGCCGTGCGAACCTGCCTCAACGAATGGCGTGCCATCAATGAACATTCCGTCAAGCAGCCTTTCTGTGAGCATTCTGTTTGCAAATCCGGGGGGGCTGCCCCCCCGTCAAGTTTCAAGTCATGCGAATTAAGCCATGCGAAGCTGCCTCAAAGAATGGAGCACCCTCAAGGGACATTCGTTCAAGAAGCCTTTCTAGGAGTATTCTGTTGGCAGGTGCCGTGGGCCCTCCCTCCTTTGTTTTTTGGCCATGCAGCCTTGTTTTCAAGGGCGACATGCCATGCCCTCCCGTTTTTTGCTATCCGAAACAGAGAGTGGGACCTAGAACCGCCAGCCGTGATGAGAGCGTGCTAACCATGTAGTCAAGGCAACTGTTCGTGGTTTTTTGATTTGTGCGTGGCCTTCATTGGTAGGTATGTTTGGGGGGAGGAAGCAACAATAGCTTGACACAGGTAGCACGGCCAGAAGGATTTCCCCCGATGTTGGATTGACAAGAATGCACTGGCGGGATTCCGGAAGCATGTCAAGAATGTAATGAGGGGAGCGTGTTTAAGATGTATGAGGGAGAGTGTTGTATATACATATATATATATGATGATGATGAGCTGCCCTCGCCAGATCAGGGGGCGTGTTTAAGATATACGATGAACCGGAATCGCCAAATGAGGGGCCGCGCTTAAGATACAGGATGAGTCGGAATCGCCAGGTGATGGGGCATGTTTAAAATATATGATGGCCCGGAACCGCCAGCGTGTTTAAGATATATGATGAACCGGAATCGCCAAATGAGGGGGCGTGTTTAAGAAGTATATGCCAGCTAAAAGAAAAACACGCACACAAACACACACCCGGGCGTGGCCGGAATGTTTTCCGGACCAGAGCCAAGAGGCTCTCCCCAAGTAATGGCGCTTTTCAGGCACGGAGCGAAGATTCTCGCGCACGGCCAGAAAGATTTATACCCCGAATTCTTGCTGGTTCTGTTGGACTGACAAGATGTTCTTCCCAATGCACTGGCGGGATTCCGGAGGCAAACGGAGGGCAAGCCCTCCACCTGGAATGCGTATGATCCTGCCTCCTCTGAATTTGCTTACAAAATAGGAATAGTTTTTTTGATACCGAAAATAGTGTTTTTTTTTGATCTCTTGATTAGTCTGCCTCCTCTCTATTTTGCTTATAAATTGCGGAATTGTTTTTTACATCCCTTAGATAGTTTTGTTGACTTTTCAAAATATTTTTTTGAGTTTTTAAATACTTGTTTCTGATGCCTCACCCCCTCGTTCCGGGTGTGGGTGATGCAAGCTGGTGCGTCATCCCACCAAGCCCTACCTTTGAGAAGAAATCTCAGGTTGTAAATCGTTGAACCCTTGCCTCTGCAGAGTGGCATGTTGTAGTCCAGAAGCCTCACAAACCGTTTTCGCCAAAGCTGTACCCTGGCAGTTGGCTTGTAGTGTCCTGCGGTCCTGCTGGTATGGTCCTTCGAAACTCTCAAACAAACATCCTAACCCGTAAATCTTAAGCCACAAGCGCCCTCAACGTGAACAAAACCATCATGTACCTTTGTGAAATCCCTGTAGCCGAGCTACCTACATGAAGGGTTATCACTTTAACTTTTAACTACTATGATCCAACTTACTGCATGATAGTTCGACCCACTAGCTTCAACAACGAAGTCGACCCATGACACAGGTGCCTTCGGGCCTCCTGAACAATGAACTATTATTCCGCTAGACGGCGTAGGGCAGTCGTCACTTTCAAGCACTCCGCTACTCCACAAGAGTCTGTAACATGATATTAGGGGTACAGGCGCAAAGCAAGAAGCCCTTTGAGAAGAGCTCCTGGCTGGAAGGAATGTGGGTCTGGGCACACTACGGCACAGCTCTGCGAGCTGTGTACACCATGACACTTTCTCTTGGGTTCAGCAGACTTTTTAGTACCCTAAGCATTTTAGTACCCGAAGCCCTAAACCCCTAATTAGGTAATCCATGCCCATCGTTAAGTGGCACGGTGTTCGGCTCTAACGATCCAAGTCCGAAGCTTACAATAGGGTGTAGGGTTTATAGGGGTTTACAGGGTTTCGAGTCCGAAAGTTACAAAGAAGATACTCCAGAAAATGTCCACAGTCGAGAACGAGTCCTTGCAGAACATGTGCTGTCAACACTATTACTGGATTTCTGCAGTGGTATGCTTTTGTCTCTCATGTGGCGGAGTGATGCCAACTGGCACAGTGCAACGGCGTGATGAGGTATGAAATAACGTTTTCTGGCTCCTGGCCGAATTACGCGCGTCCAGTGCACTTTGGCTGCAAGCTTGCATTGGCCATGGGGTCATGCTGGACGTTATTGGCGGGGTTAGAACGTCATGACGGGCAGCACGAGCTTTGAGAGTCGCAGCTCATCATGAAGAGGGTGAGTGTGCATGTTGGGCAGTGCTTATAGTCTCCGTTGTAGCTCCTTTTTGGGGTTACGCACACAATCACATACACCTCAGATGGAGCAGGTACGCCAAGCTGGGTCATGCATTTACCATCTTTTTCGTTCTCTACGTGACCATCATTGTGTTCGCGCAGCCTGGACGGAACGAGCGGAACTTTAGTCAGGCATGATCAGTATGACTATTCGCTGCAAAGATTTCAAGGTTTGTGTGCAGCATGTGCAGGTTGGATTGGGACCTTCTGTGGCGCACAGACCTTTCTTTTGAGATCGTTCCGTCGGGATTGTTGGTTGGGAGTCCCAGCCACGCGGGTGACTTACAAAGCAGAGCAAAGACTTCGAGCTCAAATCCATGGCACCAGACATCTTAATTGAGCCTTCTGGCTGTATCCCTCCATGGCCTGGCAGCTCAGGATCACTCGCGTAATTTCTGCAATATTTTTGCGGGACACACTTGAAGCTGCGAGCAACGATGCAGAGATGCTGGTGCAAGAGATGCCTGACCTGGTTTGTATTGGTTCTTGTAATGTTGCTTTTCCAATTCCAGAAGCTAACATATTTGATTGGTTGTGAACATGTGGAAAGTTTTGAGGAAGAGGTTTTCGGTCCCCTAAACCCCCTAAACCCTAGGCCCTAGACCCATGAAGTGCTGCATGCGGCTGCAGGAAGATGAAGAAGAAGTCCGCCTATGTGATGAAGCTAAAGTCGCTGTTTCAGGCCTTATAGGTTCAGGGTTTAGGGACGTTCATGCTCTGCCATTTGGGTTCAGGGTTGTAGCTTTAAGGTTCATGTCTTAGTCATCAAGTCTGGTTTTAAAAGGGTTCATGTCTTGAAGATGTGGGGCATTCCTGGTGTTCCGGATGTAGGAGGCGGCCATCGCTCTTTGGACAATCATCTCTTTGCAGGAGGTGAGAGTTCACTCGGAATCATGAGATTTTGGAACATCGCGAATCGCACACATCGTGGAAAACTCACTGCTGTTTTCACAGTGGTTCTCGCCGACAGCTTGCAACGCGAGTCTGCGTATGTTAATTCCGAAACTCTCTGTAGTACAAGGGTAACCCTGGCATCCTCAGGCTGTAAGGCCATGAAGGAAGGCTACCTACAGGGCTGTAAGGATAGATACTGAGCAGAGGCTCCAAGATCGTAGCCAGGATCAAACATCGCAGCTTTCACATGATGATAGCACATGACAGCCTGAGCCCTTAAATCGTGAACCTTTGACCTCCGTCCCCCAAGTAGCCTTACCCGTTTTCGTGCCTCGCAGGCGCTGGATGCCACCGGCAAGGGCATCATCACTCAGGCATTGCAGGGACCCTTTCTGGAGGTCGCGTCCCATTGAGAATCGTGCGTATTGAGAAAGGTTTGAACGGGTCGCCGTTGGGGTTCCGTATGTTGCAAAGCTCCCATGCAGCCCGCAGGTGACAGCATCTTGTCAGTGGGTCTTAGAGGATCGTCTTTCTGGGTTCCGACTTGACAGATAGGTTTCAAGGTGTCACGCGCTGACCGCTCCACAGTGACTGCCGGAACCCCAAGCCTTACAGACAGGGATGCTTGGGAAAACACCTTAAATCCACTTTTGATGTTACAGTCTTCGATGCCGTGCTTAAATAATTCGAAGGGGTTTGGGAGCAACAACAGTAGGAGCAATAGTAACAAACGATTCAAGCATAATTGCAACGGCTACGGTTTAACAGGTGTCAGCTGCAACAATGCATGCATCAGCAAGGAACTAAGCATGCTGAGGCCTTCTGGCAACGTCGTGTATCTACAACAGCAAACCAAACAACCAACCAAGCAAACAAGCAATCAACCACAGTGACAAAGCCCACCAACAGAAACGACAACAATGCCGCCACCGCCACCATCATCAACAACAACAACAACATCAACAACAACATCAACAACAACAGCAACAGCAGCAACAACAACAACAATAATACTGACAAAAGCAATACTTGTGACAACTTGTTTAACAATAGTTCGATTCATAGTCGCAGTAATCATCATGGTACTTTCAGAACAACAACAATATCAGCAACAACACCCGCAACAACACCATCAACATCACCAACAATAATGGCAATGATTCGGCAATGATAACAGATTCAATACCATTACCAATCTTAATGCCTTTATCGTTCCAAGAAGCAAACATACCAGAACAGCAAGCAAGCCAGCAAGCCAGCCAGCCAGCCAGCGAGCAAGCAAGAGGGCAAGCAAGCAAACAAGAGGGCAAGCAAGCAGGCAAGAGGGCAAGCCAGCAAGCACGCAAACAAGCAAGCAAGCAAGCAAGCACAAACAAACGAACGAAAACAAGCAAACAATAGCAGTCAATCAACCAATCAATCAAACCAACCAACCAAACAACCAACGGACCAGCAAACGAACCAACAAACATGCATAACGAACCAACAAACATGCGTAGATACACAACCACACAAACAACCAATCAGATCGATAACAACGCAAACAAACCAGCTAACCAAAAAACAATCGCCAACCACGATCACAACGACGAAGACGATAACACGTCTACCACAACCAGTAACGGCAAAGACAACGACGGAACATGCAGGCGAAGGGTGTCGGAGTGAGAAAAAGTAGGTGTGTGTGTATATATATATACATAGGAGTCTCCTGTCACTCTAGTTTGCACCTGGAGACTGCCAGCCTCGCTCGCACAGGATGTTCTCAATCAGCTGCTTGAGGAGCGCTTCCCCTGTGGTTTCAAGGTTTCTCAAGCTACACGAGGTTTCAACGCCGAGACAAAAGCCTTCAACCCCTGCTCCCTGAGTTCCAGGTTCTGCGAGGTTGCGCATGTTTTCCAGATTGAGTTTTGTCTCAGATATGAAAGAACTTCCGGTACCATAGGTGAGGCATTTTGCCTCTGAGGTTTTGCAGTTCTGTTCCGGGATCGACTGCACCGTAGCAGAAATCACAGCCACATGCAGCATTGCATCCGACAGCCCTAAGCCCCAAGCATCTCTGCAGCCTCTGGGTTGATCCATTGAGCTCCAACAACAAGCCTTGAGACTCTATAGTATAGTTTATAATCATTCCGAACAAATTACGAAAGCATTTAGTTTAATCAACAATTTGGTATAATCGTAAAATACTGATTGTTACTATTATTATTACTGTTATTATTATGTTTCCAAATGTGTTGTACCACCAGCTTCAGGATCCCAAGGTCATCGCGCACTTTCAGACACTGGAACTGGACGTGCACGAAGGTCGGCAGCTGCTGTGGCTTTCCAGGTGAAGGTTTAGGGTTCGAAAGGAGGGTTTAGGGGTTTAGGCTTAGGGCTTAGCATAGGACCACGTGCAGGATGTCCGCATGGGATGCGACAGGTTGTGTATGAGGCCTTTCGGCTTTGCTGGTTGTCCGCCAGGGAGGCATTCAGCTGACACCGGCCCTCGGCACTTTCCTCACCTTCCGCTACGAGTCAGAAGGATCCATATGCTGCGTTGGCCGGCCTTTGCAGGAAATGCACGGCCTGAGAAAGTTTCGTCTGGGGTTTGCGCGAAAACGGTGCCGCCGCCTGGGTTTTAGCACTGTAAACCCCAAAAGCATGTACTGCTTCGGGTTTTTTTTGGCCCTTCGGATTGATGCATCTAGCTATAAATAGTGTGTTTTCCCTGGCTTTAGCAACATGCGACAACAAGCCATCTGCAAAAGCACAAGGCGCATTACAGTTCTGTAGTTTCTGCGCGATCTAGTACTGTGCGCGGTCTTTTCATGAGCTTGGAATAGCATGGATATGTTGTGATGTCACTCGAGTTGGTGCTTGCCTACTCGAGTGTCTACGACGGGAATGGCTGGTTTTGATTTGCTGTTTGCTGCGATGCCACTGATGTGTTTCTTGAGCGGCTGCTTGCAAATTCGATCGTCTACATGGGAATTGGCTGGATTTGACTCTCTGCCGCTGATGTGTTTCTTGAGTGGGTGCTTGCGATATCGAGCTTCTACATCGGGAGTGACTGGTTTGATTTGTTGCTTGCTGCGATGCAACTGATGTGTTTCTTTGCTTAATTTAGGTGCTTGCGAAATCGAGCGTCTACATGGGGAACGGCTGGTTTTGATGTGTTGTGTTGCCACTGATGTGTGTCTCGAGCGGGTGCTTGTGGAATCGAGTGTCTACATGTTGTGGGTAATCACGCATGTGTGTGCTTCGGTTGCTTGTGGAATGCGGTGTCTACTTGGATGTTGTTGTTTTGGTCCATGGAGCCGAATGTATGCAGGCCCAACAACCGAACAGAAGTCCAAACGCCATATTTGCGAAGTGCGCAATCCCCAAAGCCTGTAGGGCACACTGATCCAGTCGTTTCGAGGTGCGGCGCTGGTCCTCCTGTTTATAAACACTTGCTACCCGAAACAGTCTCGGACTCGGTCACCTTGTTTGGCTGGAGACGCACACGTACCTCCACCTCCGCACACATGTGCGCACACATTCACCTGTCGAGAAGTGTGCCGGGTATCAGGTTTTGTCAGCCGGTCGGTAGGGGTAGGGTCCCGGGTATTGTAAGGTTGGAGGTCGCGCAGTGCTCGCGCAAGCTCGCGTGGGCGTAGCCCACAGGTTAGTGTAGTGTCCGCGACGCATGCTGGCAATTGAGCAGGAGCGACGTGGAGAGTATAATCAGCATCGGCACTGGGGTTTTAGCATCTAAGTATGCGTATTGTTGCACTATAAGGAGGCTTCTCAACCCACCGTGCGCCGGGCACGCGTCATTTTGGGTGCAAGCCGCGAACACTCCAAAAAT